TCCCCACTGACTCTTAAGGCCCTTGAAATCTAAGATTCCTTAGAAATAGACACCTGCTCTGCAATGAGCTTGGTCTAGATGCCCTTTGGGGGACCCTGTGGATCTAGCATTCTTTAGAAATTGACACCTGAACAAGAATAAGTTTGGACTAGATGCCCTTTAGGGTCCCCTCTGACTCTTAAAGCCCTTGAAATCTAAGATTCCTTAGAAACGGACACCTGCTCTGCAATGGGCTTGGTCTGCTCTGCAATGGGCTTGGTCTAGATGCCCTTTGGGGGACCCTGCGGATCCAGTGAAATCACACCGAAATCCTGCCTGGAACCCGTTGAGAAAGGAGCAAGGGAAGCAAAACAAACAGGCTTACATAATACGAATAGGGATGTGTTTCCTAGAAGAGGATATCTCTAGGTCCTCCAGAGTGGTCCGCTTCTGCATTGGAGGGCCTTGGGATTCCTAGAGAGGCACCTGGGTTGGAAAGGACCCCTAAAGGCCATCCAGTCTGACCCCAATTCTGCCAAGACGCCATGAAAGCCCTCCAGCTTCACAGACATTAGAAAGTTAATGGGGAGAAATAGGGCCAGGGAATGAATCCTAGAGGTGGAAGCGACCCCAAGGGCCACCCAATCCATTCTGCCTTTAAGGGCACCATCCGATCCCTCCTGATAGATGGTCATCCAGTCTCATACCTATATGGAGAAATAGAGCTATACCATCGCAACAACAACAACAACCCTAATGTTGGAAGGGACCCCAAGGGCCACGCAATCCATTAAGGACACCATCCAATCCCTCCCAACAGATAGCCATCCAGCCTCATCGGCATTAGAAGGTTCATGGAGGTTAGAACATTAGAAGATTCATGGAGAAATAGGGCTATAGAATAATAGTATCCTAGAGTTGGAAGAGACTCCAAGGGCCATCTAGTAAGACCCAATCCGATCCCTACCGACAGATGGCCATCCAGCCTTGTAGCTTCATGGGGAAATAGGGCTATAGCATAATAAGAAGAACAACAATGCTAGTGTTGGAAGGAACCCCAAAGGCCATCCAATAAAACTCTATTCTGCCATTAAGGACAGCATAAGATCCCTCCCAACAGATGGCCATTGGGCCTCACTGACATTAGAAGCTTCAATATAGAAATAGGGTCATAGAATCCTAGAGTTGGAAGGGACCCCAAGGGCCATCCAATAGAACTCTATTCCACCATTTTGGGCACCATCCGATGCCTCCCTCCAGATGGCCATCCGGCCTCATCGACATTAGAAGGTCCATGGATAAATAAGGCTATAGAATCATAGTATCCTAATGATGGAAGTGACCTCAACGCCATCCAGTCCAACCCCATTCTGACATTAAAGACACCATCTGATCCCTCCTGACAGATGGCCATCCAACCTCATAGTCTCATGGGGAAATACGGCTATAGTATCCTAATCATCATCATGATCACCCTAGTGTTGGAAGGAACCCCAAGGGCGATCCAATAAAACTCTATTCTACCATAATGGACACCATTGAATCCCGACAGATGGTCATCCAGCCTTATAGATTCATAGCTTCACAGGGAAATAGGGCTATAGTATCCTAATAATAATAATAATCATTGTATTGTCGAAGGCTTTCATGGCTGGAATCACTAGGTTCTTGTGGGTTTTTTCGGGCTATAGAGCCATGTTCTAGAGGCATTTCTCCTGACGTTTCGCCTGCATCTATGGCAAGCATCCTCAGAGGTAGTGAGGATGCTTGCCATAGATGCAGGCAAAACGTCAGGAGAAATGCCTCTAGAACATGGCTCTATAGCCCGAAAAAACCCACAAGAACCTAATCATCATCATCATCACTTTATTAGTAACCCATCCTATCTCCCCAAGGGGACTCCTCATCATCCTAGGACACCATTCGATCCCTCCCGACAGATGGTCATCCAGCCTCATACCTTCATGGGGAAATTATAGTATCCTAATAATAATAATAATAATAATAATAATAATAATAATAATAATAACAATCCTAGTGTTAGAAGGGACCCCACAAGGGCCATCCAATCTGACTGCCATCTTCCATTCAGGACACCATCTGATCCCTCCTGACAGATGGCCATCCAGCCTCAGAGACTCATAGCTGCATGGGTAAATAGGGATATATAGATAGATAGATAGATAGATAGATAGATAGATAGATAGATAGATAGATAAATTTACAGCATTTCTATCCCGTCTTTCGCAACCCGAAGACAACTCACGGTGGCTTACAAATTGGCAGCAATTTGATACCACAACAGTCATAAATACTATTAAAAACATTCAGCAAAACGTAAGAAAATCCATATAAAAAACATTAAAAACATATAATCACTACTATAGTATCCTAATAACAATAATTCTTGTGTTGGAAAGTGCCCCAAAGGCCATCCAATCCAACCTTCAACTGGGCTGGAAGACCCAATCTGATCCCTCCCGACGGATGGCCACCCAGTTTCTGCTTCAAAGTGACATTTGGGGTTTTGTGTTATTATTATCATCATCATCAGGTCTTTCAATTGCGTTATATGGTCCATGCATGTGGGCTGCTCTGTCCATCCACAAGCCAATCAGCCCGGTTGCTCTGGGCGACCATCCATCATTCATAGCCGTGTCGCCTGACAACACACTGCCGTCGTCGACGCATGGGCTGCCGCGCACCGAATCTGATCCGCCGAGGCAAAAAAAAAAAAAGCCCTCCAAGATGGAGGATTGCAAGAGCAAATGACTGCAACCGGCCACTCTCTTCCAATCGCCATCAAGGCAAATCCTCCTATTCTGCTTGGAAAAACACAACAAGCCTGTATCCTTTGGAACCCAAAGTGATGGGAGCCTCCCTTCCCAACCAATCATAGCAGCCCGTTTGCATCCAAGCAACACAAGAGGCCTAAAAGGACATCTCAGGGGGGGGGGGGGAGGAATAATAATAATAATTATATCCATTCTATTTTTATTATTTTTATTTTATGTACATATCTGAGATTTTTTAAAAAATATATTTTAATTATTTATCCTAATATTTTGCATATATATATTATTTTGACATTTTACATTTTTATAATTTAATATTAGAAAATTATTATACAGTTTACATTTGTTCTCATGGTTAGATTTACTATTTATTATATTTTTACTTGTTTGTATCCTTGCATATTTAATTTTTTTATACCTTACCTAGGCTACCATTTTATTATTTATTATTTTCACATTTTATTTTTTATCCTGTCACATTTGATATTTTTGTACTATTTATTATTAGCATTTATTTTGTAGTTTTATCATTTTTTTGTGATTGATACTTTTGAATTTATATTATTTTTATATTTTACCCTTTTTATTATTTTTATATGTTGCAATATTCTATTTTTATGCTTATGTTTCACACTTTTCTGTTGATATCATTTTTGTTTTACCAGTTTAATTACTTTTGCGTTTTACAATTTTCTATGTTAATTATATTTTTTGTTTCACACTTATTTTTCTATTTTTATTATTTTACATTTTATTATTTTTCTATTTTTAAAATGTTTATTATTTTCTATTTTACTTATTTTTGTTTAAATTTTTAATTTTTAAATGTTATTAATTTTTAAACTGTTATTTCACAATTTTACTGTTTCTCTATTTTTACAGAAGAAATTCTATTCTACCCATTTCATTGTTTTTATTATATTATTATATTATATTTGTTATATTATATTTTAAACATTTTTATTTTACATCTTTAATTATATTTATATTATTTCTCTATTTTTACAAGTTGTATTGTTTTTATTATTTTACCATTTTTATTATTTTTCATTCCTACCATTTTTATTATTTTTCTATTTTACCATTTTTATTTTGTTTTATTTTACCATTTTTATTTTGTTCTGAGGAGCAACCTCTGAGGATGCTTGCCATAGATGCAGGCGAAACGTCAAGAGAAATGCCTCTAGAACATGGCTCTATAGCCCGAAAAAAACCCACAAGAACCTAGTGATTCCAGCCATGAAAGCCTTCGACAATACATTTATTTTGTTCTCTTTTACCATTCTTATTTTTATTATACTTTTTTTTACAAATTTTTAATTATTTCACAATTATTATGATTTCTCTATTTTTATTATATTTCTATATGATATTATATTTTTTACCATTTTTCTATTTCATCCTTTTTATTGCTTTTTATTATTTTTACCATTATTATTATTATTCTATTTTTATTTTCACCACTAATTTTTTTCCAATTTACTCTTTCTATTGCTTTAATTATATGTGTACAATTATTATTATTATTTCTAATTTTATCATTTTTCTATTTTTCCCATTTCCATTTTTATGTTATTGCTTTTTATTATATTTTTTAATCATTTATTATTATTTTCTATTTTTTATTCTTTTTCTATTTTCACCATTTTTTGTCTATTTTATCCTTTTGATTGCTTTTTATTACATTTTTATAATTTTATTATTATTTCTCTATGTTTATTATTTTTTCTATTTTATCATTTATTGTTTTTATGTTATTTTACGATTTTATTATGCTCATTATTTTACTATTTGATCCTTTCGATTTTTTAAAATTATATTTTCACAATTTTTACCCATTTCTATTATTTTCGTATCTTGACCATTTTTATTATTTTTCTATTTTACCCTTTTTATTATTATTTATTATTATTATTCACAATTTTGCATTATAGTTTTATAATATTCTGCACTCAATGTATCCATTTATATTACTTGTCTATATTACTTGATTCTATTCTATGATTCTATATTGCCTTGATTTGCTGGGCTTTGCAAGGAGAGCCTTTCTGCAAAGGCCCATTTGCCCCATCGAAGCATCCCCCAGTTTAAGCGCCTTAGGCTTCTGCTGCTGCACCTGTGTCAAATGAAGGTTATCCTCCTCCCCGGATCCCATGCAAAGGGGGCACCCCAACATCCAAACCGGGGTGCAAAAAGGAGGTTGCAAGGGCGCGCGCGCTCACTCACCTCGGAAGCGCGCTTCGGATCGACAGCTAATGCAGCAGCAGCGGCGGCGCGAGGCGACTGAGCACCTTGCCTGCAGATCCCCGGACCGACGTCACAGCGTTCCAAAAAGGGGCGGGGCGCAGATGCAAATGAAACCGTGACGTCCTTGCCCTGCCCTCCTCTTTCGGAGGCGGTGCTTAGAAGACGGGAGCCGCCTCACGATTGGCCCGTCGCTCAGCCAGGATTGACGCCGGCTCGCAACCTATCCCGGCCTGCCAGGCTCGGTTTCTATGGCGACGCAGCTTCCCTTTCGCCCGCCATTGCTTCAGCCAAGGCGGTCACGTGGCCCTGAGGGGAAAAGGCAGCTTTTCAACCCCTTCTTGATTGGGCCAAAAGTGACATAAAAGTGGGGCCTGAATGAGTCTCAATCCTTGATTAAACCAAGAACATATTGACAAGCTGGAATGTGTCCAGAGGAGGGCGACTAAAATGATCAAGGGTCTGGAAAACAAGCCCTATGAGGAGCGGCTTAAGGAGCTGGGCATGTTTAGCCTGAAGAAGAGAAGGCTGAGAGGAGATATGATAGGTAAAGGTAAAGGTAATCCCCTGACATTAAGTCCAGTCATGTCTGACTCTGGGGTGTGGTGCTCATCTCCATTTCTAAGCCGAAGAGCCAGCATTGTCCGTAGACACCTCCAAGGTCATGTGGCCGGCATGACTGCATGGAGCGCCGTTACCTTCCCGCCGGAGCGGTACCTATGGATCTACTCACATTTGCATGTTTTCGAACTGCTAGGTTGACAGAAGCTAGGGCTGACAGCGGAAGCTCACGCCACTCCCCGGAATTGAACCTGCGACCTTTCGATCAACAAGCTCAGCAACTCAGTGCTTTAACCCACTGCGCCACCGGGGGCTCTGGAGATATGATAGCCATGTATAAATATGTGAGAGGAAGCCACAGTGTTCTGTTGCGCAATTACTTACTTACTTACTTAGGCGATCCCTCGTTGGACGAGTAAGATGGTTTTCCATTATGGGTTTTTTTGTGGGTCCGCATGTGGCTGTGGAGCCCTATTCTTGCTCTGCATCTTCCCTAGTGTGGGCATTGGTTTCCAGGTGAAAGGCGGTCCCGGTCGGGGTTGGCTTGACGTGCCTTCCTCTTGGCACGTTTCTCTCTTTCACCCTCCACTCGTGCCTCCTCAAATTCTGCAGCACTGCTGGTCACAGCTGACCTCCAGCTGGAGCCCTCAAGGGCCAGGGCTTCCCAGTTCTCGGTGTCTATGCCAGAGTTTTTAAGGTTGGCTTTGAGCCCATCTTTAAATCTCTTTTCCTGTCCTCCAACATTCCGTTTTCCATTCTTGAGTTTGGAGTAGAGCAACTGCTTTGGGTGACGGTGGTCGGGCATCCGGACAACGTGGCCGGCCCAGCGGAGTTGATGTTGGAGGAGCATCGCTTCAATGCTGGTGGTCTTTGCTTCTTCCAGCATGCTGACGTTTGTCCGCTTGTCTTCCCAGGAGATTTGCAGGATTTTCCGGAGGCAGCGCTGATGGAATCGTTCCAGGAGTCGCATGTGATGTCTGTAGACAGTCCAGGTCTCATAGGCATATAGCAGGGTTGAGAGGACAATAGCTTTACAGACAAGCACCTTGGTATCCCTACGGATGTCCCGGTCCTCAAACACTCTCTGCTTCATTCGGGAAAATGCTGCGCTCGCAGAGCTCAGGCGGTGTTGTATTTCGGCGTCAATGTTGACTTTGGTGGAGAGGTGGCTGCCAAGGTAGCGGAAATGGTCAACATTTTCTAATGCTACACCATTAAGCTGTATCTCTGGCATTGGGGAGGGGATGGCTGGTGACTGCTGGGACAGCACTTTGGTTTTCTCGATGTTCAGTGACAGGCCAAACTTCCCGTATGCTTCTGCAAAGGTGTTTAGAGTGGCTTGTAGATCTTCTTCTGTATGCATCACACGATGGGCCTGTAATAGCTGTACTTTTCTGTAGGACGTATACTTTAAGCCCGGCGGGAAGCCAGGGGCGCCTCAGAGAGAGGATCTCAGGGATTTTTCTGAAGTGATGGTCTTTAGAGTCTTTAATGATACAACAAAGTCTTTATTATAGAACGAACAACAAATCTTCAATGGTTCAAACTACACTTCAAGGCTTTCTTAGTCTAGTCCACAATGGGCTGGTACCTGACTTTAATTAACTGAACCTTCTCTGTAGGAAAACCCCTTTTTAACCTCTCCTGGGCTGTTTACTATCTATGCCTCATCGGTGTGGGTCCTACTACCGACTCCAAATGCATCTGGGTATCGAGTAGACCTACCAGCCGAGGCTTGTCGATATTTTAGATGGAGTTCCGTGGATCTGTAATGCTGTCCTCCCTCAGAGAATTCTTTGAAAACTTCAGGGCTGTTTTCCCTCTGATTGCTGTGAGCCTGAGAGGCTGTGAGCTCTCAGCCAGAGCCTTGGGTCCTTTTCGCTGAAGTTTCTGTTTCTCCATATGTTCCTTTTCCCTGGATGCTTCTATTCCCTGGATGCTCTTGGGAAAAGAAGGTTTTCTACAGGATGAGCTGGTCTACGTCCTATAGTTTAGCTTCCTTGTGTGAGACTGCCCAAAAAATGGCTCCTTTCCCTCCCAGAGCCCTGAACAAAGGGCGGAACCAAATGATGGAGAGGAGGCCTGCCCTATGACTGCAAACAGATAACAGAAAGAAAATAAAGTTGGCGCTCCTGGTACAGCTGTACCAGCACACACAGGGAGGAGGGAGAAAGCTTGTTTTCTGCTTCCCTGGAGACTAGGACGCGGAACAAAGGCTTCAAATTACAAGAAAGGAGATTTCATCTGAGCATTAGGAAGAACTTCCTGACTGTGAGAGCCGTTCAGCAGTGGAACTCTCTGCCCCAGAGTGTGGTGGAGGCTCCTTCTTTGGAAGTTTTTAAACAGAAGCTGGATGGCCATCTGTCAGGAGTGATTTGAATGCAATATCCCTGCTTCTTGGCAGGGGGTTGGACAGGATGGCCCAGGAGGTCTCTTCCAACTCTTTGATTCTATGATTCTACATACCAATATAAGAGGATGCTGTCAAGGTGATGCGTGCCATTGACCAGCAAAGATGGAAAACACAAGAATGGCCATCCGATACCCCATAACAAAAAAGGGAAACGTTAAGAACGCTCAAAGTTTGGTATAACCCAAAACAAAGATGGCAGAAGAGATCAAGAGAATGTAGCGAGACTATACAGAAGATCTGTATAAGAAGGATAATAATGAGGACGGCCAACCCAGAACTCCCTGCCTTCAAGCTGGTCCAACCTGCAGCAGGGAGTTCCGCAGTTCTCCTTTGCCCGCTTGGGCCAGCTTCCATGGAATGTGGCCACAGCAGCTTCAACCTAAATACTCTCTTTCTAATTTACTTTCTTTCCCCTTCCTAACATTGTAACAAATCCCCCCAGTAACGTATCAAATTAATTCTAACTCTTTCCTCTCTATAGTGTTACTTTGTGTCCTTTACTGCCTCCAAACTATTCCTTGCATGAACTTTGCCTCTTCCAGGCTGCAGATGGCAATTTTTGCGTCCCGGGGAGGCTGAAACCGAGCTCCTCTGAATCGCAGATATGGAAACCCACCGAGTCCCCGTATCCGCGAGTCAATGGATCGCTCCAAAATCGGTGTCATTCTTCTCCGGGGCAAATTCTAATAGCTATCTCACTTTTGCTCCACTAACCTTTCTACCCTGGGAATAACCATTTTTGCCCCCAAAAACTCAACATGGAGCCCAGCTGGCTCCCCACTGCCATCACATCGCTGTCGCCATCTCACTGATGCCTGAAGAGCCCGTTGACCTGGGGAACCTGTTGCGGTCATCCCTTGGGACCTCCAGGAAACCAACGGGCCATCCTGGTCCTTGACGAGATGGAATCTATAGTTTTCTCCGTCATCCAACATGGATCTTGACTTCCAGCGCTTGCAGTCACTTCCCTAGGACCCAATAGACTTCGGGGAGCCTTTTTGCCCTCATGGATTCCTTGAATTTTGCCCTCATGGATTCCTTGAATTTTGATCAACTTTTAGAACTTTTGGAAACTTTTTTGAAACTTCCTTTCTCCCCAAACTTCATGGATTTCTGTTATGATTTTAGGTCTTACATGAACTCTGGTGGATGGGATGGGTTACTGACGTGTGGTGAGTGAATTAGAACCAGACATCCTGAGGAGTGAGGTTGAATGGGTCTGAAGAAGCATTGCTAATCTCAAGCCTGCAGGAGATGACGGTGTCCCAGCCAAACTCTTTAAGATCTTGAAAGAGGATGGTGTCAAGGTGATGCGTGCCATATGCCAGCAAAGATGGAAAACACAAAAATGGCCATCAGATGGGGGGAAATCAACTTCTATCCCCATTCCAAAAAAGAGAAATGCTAAAGAATGCTCAAAATTCTGGGAAAAATGGGTATGATCCAAAACAAATATGGAAAGGACCTAACAGAAAGCAGCAGAAGAGATCAAGAGAATATAGCAAGACTATAGAGAAGATTTTTATAGGAAGGATAATAATATTGAGGTATGGTGAGTGAATTAGAACCAGACATCCTGAGGAGTGAGGTTGAATGGGCCTGAAGAAGCATTGCTAATCGCAAGCCCACAGGAGACAACGGGGTCCCAGCTGAACTGTTTAAGATCTTGAAAGATGATGCTGTCAAGGTGATGCATGCCCATCACTACAGTAAGGTAATGCTTGAGATCCTGCAAGGTTTGTTGTTTATTCGTTCAGTCGCTTCTGACTCTTCGTGACCTCATGGACCAGCAAGGTAGACTCCAGCAATATGTGGAGCGAGAGTTGCCAGATGTACAAGCTGGGTTTAGAAAAGGCAGAGGAATGAGAGTCCCAATTGGCAACATCCACTGAATAATGGAGGAAGGCAGGAAGTTTCAGAAAAACATCGCTTTCAGTTTCATTGACTATTCTAAAGCCTTTTATTGTGTGGATCACAATAAGGTGTAGCAAGTTCTTGGTGGTATGTATGGGGATATCAAGCAACTTTGTCTAGCTCCTGAGAAGTCTGTATAATGACCAAATAGCAACAGTCAGAACAGACCACTGAAGAACAGACTGGTTCAAGACTGTTCAAG